TGACTCCCAAAAATTTAGTAGAATACACCCTTTCAATTTCCAAAGAGAGTATTTTTACGTGGCATGGTGTGTCAATACTTCTGTTTCCAAAGATTATGTAATTAGTTTTATTCAAATCTTTGAATAATTTGTTTGTGTCAAACCATTGTTTAAGGCTTGTATCACAAATAAGTTTGAACTTTTTAAACAATTTACATATATCATTAATATACATTAAAGCCCCGTCCCAATTCTCACCATTGCTTTTAAAAAGCACCCTTGCCCTTGCCCTAGTGGCGTTCACTGAGGCTTCAGAGACGTGTTGCATGTTAATAACATAGACCCATGATGTAGTTCAGAGCATCGCTTTGACACAGTTTACTTGATCCGTGGCTCTTCTCGTCTGTCTCTGTGTGGTACGTCTCTGTGCGCGTACGTGTATGTGCATGTGTGTGTCTTTGTGTGGTACGTCTCTGTGCGCGTACGCGTATGTGCATGTGTGTGTCTTTGTATGGTACGTCTCTGTGCGCGTACGTGTATGTGCATGTGTGTGTCTTTGTATGGTACGTCTCTGTGCGCGTACGTGTATGTGCATGTGTGTGTCTTTGTATGGTACGTCTCTGTGCGCGTACGTGTATGTGCATGTGTGTGTCTTTGTATGGTACGTCTCTGTGCGCGTACGTGTATGTGCATGTGTGTGTCTTTGTATGGTACGTCTCTGTGCGCGTACGTGTATGTGCATGTGTGTGTCTTTGTATGGTACGTCTCTGTGCGCGTACGTGTATGTGCATGTGTGTGTCTTTGTATGGTACGTCTCTGTGCGCGTACGTGTATGTGCATGTGTGTGTCTTTGTATGGTACGTCTCTGTGCGCGTACGTGTATGTGCATGTGTGTGTCTCTGTGTGGTACGTCTCTGTGCGCGTACGTGTATGTGCATGTGTGTGTCTTTGTATGGTACGTCTCTGTGCGCGTACGTGTATGTGCATGTGTGTGTCTTTGTATGGTACGTCTCTGTGCGCGTACGTGTATGTGCATGTGTGTGTCTTTGTATGGTACGTCTCTGTGCGCGTATGTGCATGTGTGTGTCTTTGTATGGTACGTCTCTGTGCGCGTACGTGTATGTGCATGTGTGTGTCTTTGTATGGTACGTCTCTGTGCGCGTACGTGTATGTGCATGTGTGTGTCTCTGTGTGGTACGTCTCTGTGCGCGTACGTGTATGTGCATGTGTGTGTCTTTGTATGGTACGTCTCTGTGTGCGCACGTGTATGTACATGTGTGTGTCTCTGTATGGTACGTCTCTGTGCGCGTACGTGTATGTGCATGTGTGTGTCTTTGTATGGTACGTCTCTGTGTGCGCACGTGTATGTACATGTGTGTGTCTCTGTGTGGTACGTCTCTGTGCGCGTACGTGTATGTGCATGTGTGTGTCTTTGTATGGTACGTCTCTGTGCGCGTACGTGTATGTGCATGTGTGTGTCTTTGTATGGTACGTCTCTGTGCGCGTACGTGTATGTGCATGTGTGTGTCTTTGTATGGTACGTCTCTGTGTGCGCACGTGTATGTACATGTGTGTGTCTTTGTATGGTACGTCTCTGTGCGCGTACGTGTATGTGCATGTGTGTGTCTTTGTATGGTACGTCTCTGTGTGCGCACGTGTATGTACATGTGTGTGTCTTTGTATGGTACGTCTCTGTGCGCGTACGTGTATGTGCATGTGTGTGTCTTTGTATGGTACGTCTCTGTGTGCGCACGTGTATGTACATGTGTGTGTCTCTGTGTGGTACGTCTCTGTGCGCGTACGTGTATGTGCATGTGTGTGTCTTTGTATGGTACGTCTCTGTGCGCGTACGTGTATGTGCATGTGTGTGTCTCTGTGTGGTACGTCTCTGTGCGCGTACGTGTATGTGCATGTGTGTGTCTCTGTGTGGTACGTCTCTGTGCGCGTACGTGTATGTGCATGTGTCTGTCTCTGTGTGTTTGTACATGCGTCTGTCTGTGTGCATGTGTCTGCCTCTGTGTATGTACGTGTGTATCTTTGTGTGCGTGTGTGTGTGCGTCTGTCTCTATGAGTGCGTGATTTGCAGCAATTTTGTACTTAATCATAGCAAATCTTCACATGAAATAGAAATAAAAATGTCTCATTTTAATAAATACTGTGTTTCATAAAGTCATATCCGTGTCAGATCTCATCTGTGGTGAAATCAGACACATTGATAATGCGTGTGACATTGAAAACGTTTGTTGCGTCATTTGCACATTGTCCCCTAGATCCAGGGGTGTCTGAATTCTTAGGGAGAATATCCTGTGAGTGCACTCACCTATGGGAAGGCACTTTTCTGGTGAGGGCACTCACACCTTGAGGGCCCTCAGAATTTGGACGGGGCCTATAACTAGCTTGGGTCACAATACAGAGCCTTGAGAAACTCCATGTGTCAAGATCCTTTTATCTGAATCTGCGTTGTTTATCTGAACATACTGCTCTCTGCCACCAAGATAACTCTTTAGCCAATCCCTCCAATCTTTTTTGGAGGGTATTGAAATAATATAAGCTTTTTGCTTTGTCCAATCCCTTTTCAAACCAAATCAAGGAACATTTTGAACAGGGAAAAATATGTGATTAATTGCGATTATACACTAATGTATAACTACACTTATTAACAGTCAGATCAACATACATTCCATTCGGGAGGGGCTGAGCGAGGACCACCATGTGTTTGGTTTGCACTCTGAGCTCAGGCAGTCGACTAGAGGAACATCCTCATGTCTTTAAATTTTTTTGTATGTTTAGCTTTTAAGTGAATGTCAATTATATTTCAAATTGTGAGGAAAGAGTGCAAACTTTTGAACTCAGGCGGCTTGTTTGTTTCATCAAACCCCTTTTCAAACCTGTATCAGTGTAGAGATTACCGTGAAATTGTAATCTGCAGGTTTGAAATGAATCTAACTAAAGCAAGCACTGCCCATGCTCATCCTCACAACTTCCTGATTTAAATTAATTCATTAAAATTCTATAACTATTTTTCTCCAGAAAATCTTACTGATGGTGGTGCCGAGAGTTACTTATCAATATATCAATTTGCTACATTTACATAATAGAATAGGATTATATGGTCAGACAATTTGCATTCTTTTCCAAATGAAATAGCTATAGTTTAAGTTTCTGAATGCAACTTTTGACTTGGCTTAACTTGCAGGCATGTCACTTCTGCTGTAGAATGCAGAATACAAAAATAGCCTGGGAAGTCATAGAGAGCTCAGAGAGAAGCATTGGATATCAATAAACTCAGATGAAACTTGATTGAGTAAAGGTACACTAAAACCATTTTCAATAGTACATAGATAATTATATATAATGAATAACTGAAAACAAATTGACTAGACATACAGAATAATAAAACAATCCTTTTCTTCAGATGAACAGCTAATGTAAAAAGTCAACACAATAAGTTATTTTATTTGAAAATATGATTACAAAGTATGAGTTTGTAAAGTTTATTTTATAATATACAAAATATAAAATTCTCATTAATGTATCCAATAGAAAATGTAGATGGATTGTCAGGGTCATATTTTTGACAGGATGCTATCACTAACCACAATACTCACCACATTTGGTATTGGTCCCGTTTTAACTTGAGGCGAGTCAAAGGCTGAATGTATATAAGGGACGAACAGAGGGACAGCAGCCACTGTCGGGCACTTTGGACAGCTGGTAAGGTTTACTCTTTGCCTTCTCTCTATCAGTGGATGTCCTAGATAGGGGAACTGTTGATTCAGAAATTTTGTGCCAAGAACAATTTGTGTAACTTTTTGCAGAATTAAGGGACATTACATCCTCTCGGCAGTCAAGTCAAGTGCCAGGTAAGACAATTGTATTATCTGTAGGAATCAAATGGTGTATTCTGAAATCTGAGACCATTAAGTGAGATTGAGTGCACTCGAACTTCTTCCCAGAAAAACATAACCACATTATGATGTGTGAAGTATTGATAAAAGTACCAAATTCAGTTACAATGTGTGAACTCAACTTATGTATCTCCAATGCAATGATCATGTAGCCATGATGAAAACAATATATATATATGAATATTAAGAGAGTTAAGTTAAGATACTTTTTTTTGTGTTGCCCATTTCAAATGTGAATTCCAGTATGTCTTTGACACATAATTAACCAGTGCTGTAGCCAGAGATGTAGAAATGTGAAACTGAAGACACTGGCAATACACAATTTAGTTGTAATTGTACTTTGAGATCAACTAATAAATAATTTGGCAGACATGGTATAATGCATGTTGAACCTCGATTTAAATCTAATTCTTAATAAACAAACTCAACACTCAATTTACTATTATTAAATAAAAAACCCCAAATGCAATTTTTATGAATTCATCAGAATCTGTAAATCAATCTTCAGCACTCACCCATATTTACCTTTCTATTAGCAACAGCCCTTCAGAAAGAAATGATTTAAAGTCGACCCTATTAAATTAAACAAAAATTGGCCCCAGAACACACCTAGAGACCAGTCTCTAATTGTAGCAATTTTTAAAATCAGTAAGGGCAAAAAATCCATGTTCTCAGAAGTTTTACACAAGTATATTCGATGAAGATGGGGCGACAGTAGCTCAGTTGGTAGAGCGTTGGCCTTCAGGCCTGAAGCGTTGGCCTTCAGGCCTGAAGGTTGTGGGTTCAATTCCCACCTCTACACCTTCTCCACCGACTCCCACTGATGACTGATGTCGTTGTGTCCTTGGGCAAGACACTTAACCCCACTTTGCCCAAAGCCCCCACTGAAAGATCAAGGCTATGCTCACAGTCAGAGAGCAGCCGTCCTCCTGTGGACTCACCAACTGCAGAGGGTCAGTGAGGGGCTGGTGCTATGAGACTTGGATGGCATCTCAAATGGATTAAAGGGTAGAAAATGGATGGATGGATGGATGGATTCGATGAAGAGTTGGTTAATTTCAGAATGTAGATTTTGTGCTCCTAATTTTGTTCAAGCAGAAAACAACCGCCACCATGAGTACGGACGCGGAGATGCAGATTTACGGCAAGGCGGCCATCTACCTCCGTAAACCAGAGAAGGAGAGGATTGAGGCTCAAAGTGCTCCCTTTGATGCCAAGAGTGCCTGCTACGTGGCTGATGTCAAGGAGTTGTACCTCAAGGCTACAATCATCAAGAAGGACGGTGGCAAAGTCACAGTCAAGGTCTTGGGCACTGAGGAGGTTAGTTAAAACCATGTAAAAGACTCAACAGCACGCTAATACACGCTCTGCTTACACACCCCATGTTCTGTTATAGGAGAGAACAGTTAAAGAAGAGGACGTCTCTCCCATGAACCCTCCCAAGTACGACAAAATTGAGGACATGGCCATGATGACCCACCTCAATGAAGCCTCTGTGCTTTATAACCTCAAAGAGCGTTATGCAGCATGGATGATCTACGTAAGACATTTATTTCACAAAATGTGAACACTGTATTAAGAACAGTCAAATTCATGTTTATGTGAATATATCTTCAGACCTACTCTGGGCTGTTCTGTGCGACTGTCAACCCCTACAAGTGGCTGCCAGTGTACGACATGGAAGTCGTCAATGCCTACAGAGGCAAGAAGCGTATGGAGGCTCCACCCCACATCTTCTCCGTCTCTGACAACGCTTTTCAGTTCATGCTTTGTGGTGAGTAGGATTGACATTAAAAACATGAAATATAATGATAGGTTTTGACACACTGTACTTTATATTTTTATAGACAGGGAGAACCAGTCTGTCTTGATCACGTAAAATATACACTATTCTTTAATAATTCCAAAGATTTGTCCATGATTTTACAAGTCTATTTTCATCCACAGTGGGGAATCTGGAGCTGGAAAGACTGTGAACACCAAGCGTGTCATTCAGTACTTTGCCACAATCTCAGTTGGTGGTGGTGAGAAAAAACAGTCTTCAAAGATTCAGGTTGGTTTTTAATTTAGTCATTGTTAAATACAACAAATGCCACAACTGAAAGATACAAATAGGACCGTCATCTCCTCTGCAGGGTTCCCTGGAGGATCAGATTATTGCAGCCAACCCACTGCTGGAGTCTTATGGTAATGCCAAGACTGTGAGAAATGACAACTCCTCTCGTTTTGTAAGTCATAGAATGATAGAAATTATTGAATAGCTTCTCAACCTTTTCATGCATAATTGAATGTATTTGTATATCAATACAATGTCTTCAATCCACTCAGGGTAAATTCATCAGAATTCATTTCGGCACAACTGGTAAACTGGCTAGTGCTGATATTGAAACTTGTAAGTTTGATTTTTCAGTGAGAGCAATAGAATTGAAACAAAACATGTTTTTTGAACTATACTATTTCTTTCATTCACAGATCTGCTGGAGAAGTCTAGAGTAACATACCAGCTTGAACAGGAGAGAGGCTACCACATCTTCTTCCAGATGATGACCAACCACAAGCCTGAGATCGTTGGTATGCAGATAATGAAACAAACAAATCTATCTTGCGTTCTCTTGTTGAGCTCAGAGTCATATGGTCTACTTTTCAGAAATGTGTCTCATTACATCCAACCCATACGACTTCCCCATGTGCAGCATGGGTCAAATTACTGTTGCTAGCATTGATGACAAAGAGGAGCTGGATGCAACTGACGTAAGTCACTCAGGAATCATAAAGAATTTTTAAAACACTTGAAAGTTAAAAAATATTTATGGAAACATATATCCAACTAGAATGCCATTGACATCCTGGGCTTCAACGGTGAGGAAAAGATGAGCATCTACAAAACGACAGGTGCTATCCTCCACCACGGAAACATGAAGTTCAAGCAAAAGCAGCGTGAGGAGCAGGCTGAACCAGACGGCACAGAGGGTAAGAGAAATGTCCCTAACCTTATCCTTTTTTATTGTATATAAATATTTCCTGAAGTTTTCAAAATGCTCCGAATTACTTGTTGTTCTGAACTCACTGATGATGAAAGTACCATGAAAAAAACATGTCCTGCAGATTTTCTCATTTTATCTCAAAAGTATTGGGACAAATACAAGACAATGTTTCAATGCCTTTAGCTGCAGTTTGTGCTGTATACATAATGTATATCTTCCATCTCTCATTGGGGATGACTTGTTTCATAAACACAGCTTATGGTCTTTACAGATGCTGACAAAGTTGCTTACCTGCTGGGTCTGAACTCTGCTGACATGCTTAAGGCGTTGTGCTACCCCAGAGTCAAGGTCGGAAATGAGTTTGTCACCAAGGGACAGACAGTGCCACAGGTAAAGTTATTATATCAGGAGTAATCATTGTAACCCCGCTGTAAAAAGATTGTTAACCCTGAGTTCATTTAGGTGATGAATTCTGTACCTGCCCTGGCCAAGTCCATCTATGAAAGGATGTTCTTGTGGATGGTCATCCGCATCAACCAGATGTTGGACACCAAGCAACAGAGAAACTTCTTCATTGGAGTCTTGGACATTGCCGGCTTTGAAATCTTTGATGTAATCTTTATTCTATAAGAAAACCTAAATCTGAATCAAGTGTGGATGTTCATTTGTAATATTTGCGGTTGACAGTTCAACACCTTGGAGCAGCTGTGCATTAACTTCACCAATGAGAAACTGCAACAGTTCTTTAACCACACCATGTTCGTCCTGGAGCAAGAGGAGTACAAGAAGGAGGGTATTATCTGGGAGTTCATTGATTTCGGCATGGACTTGGCTGCCTGCATTGAGCTGATTGAAAAGGTAAGCCGAGGGATTTCAATGAACTGTAGGAAAGTCCTTACATTTCTAAATGTGTCTTGTTTATCAACCAGCCCATGGGCATCTTTGCCATCCTTGAAGAGGAATGCATGTTCCCCAAAGCCTCAGATACAACCTTCAAGAACAAGCTGTATGATCAACATCTTGGCAAGAACAAGGCGTTTGAGAAGCCTAAACCAGCCAAGGGCAAGGCTGAGGCCCACTTCTCCCTGGTGCACTATGCTGGAACTGTGGACTACAACATCTGTGGCTGGCTGGACAAGAACAAGGACCCCCTGAACGAGTCTGTTATCCAGCTGTACCAGAAATCTTCAGTCAAACTTATGCCTATTCTGTATCCGCCAGTAGTTGAAGGTGAAGGCACACTTGTTATCAATTCAGTTTTTTTTATAATTACCAAATGTAAATAACAATATATTGTTTGATACTTCTGTCTAACAGAGCCCAAAAGTGCCAAGGGAGGCAAGAAGAAGGGTGGCTCCATGCAGACTGTGTCCTCACAGTTCAGGGTATGAATTGACTTAAACATAATATATTACATTGATGTTTCTTTCATCCAATTCCTTTTTTTGTTAAAATTATATTATAGTAATTATATTAACTGTTACAGGAGAATTTGGGCAAGCTGATGACTAATTTGAGGAGCACTCATCCTCACTTTGTGCGTTGCCTGATTCCCAATGAGTCTAAGACTCCAGGTATATATGATTGTTGTTATGGTTTTCTTCTTATTTTTCTTTTCCATATTAATTCAGGTCACTAATAACTCTTAATTGTCCCAGGTTTGATGGAGAACTTCCTGGTCATCCACCAGCTTAGGTGCAATGGTGTACTGGAGGGTATCAGAATCTGCAGAAAGGGTTTCCCCAGCAGAATTATGTATGCTGACTTCAAGCAGAGGTATGAGTGAACTTTGTGCAAGCAGCAATTCAAATAATAAAAACAATCATTATGCGATGATTCTATTACTTCTCTCTATATATAATTTGACTTTATTTCTTTCCTCAAAAAGATACAAGGTACTTAATGCCGGTGTTATCCCTGACGGTCAGTTCATTGACAACAAGAAGGCTTCTGAGAAGCTGCTGGGATCCATTGATGTCAACCATGATGAATATAAATTTGGACACACTAAGGTGAGTAAATGTCATAGATAATGCGGGTCTCTGTGTTTTTTTGTATTGTACTACAATGTTTTCATGCAATGTTATAGGTGTTCTTTAAAGCTGGTCTGTTGGGTGTTCTTGAAGAGATGAGAGATGAAAAACTTGCAAGTCTCGTCACAATGACACAGGCTTTGTGCCGTGGATACCTCATGAGAAGGGAATATGTGAAGATGACTGCAAGAAGGCATGTTACTTATACTATACTTAGTACTATAACTTTTAATTGACCATATAGAAATGTTTAAACACAAACATACATAAATGTCCTTTTTTCTGTAGGGATGCTGTCTATACCATTCAGTACAATGTCCGCTCATTCATGAATGTCAAGCACTGGCCATGGATGAAGGTTTACTATAAGATCAAGCCCCTCCTGAAGAGTGCTGAGACTGAGAAGGAACTTGCCAATATGAAGGAGAATTATGAGAAGATGACCACTGACTTGGCTGCGGCTTTGGCCAAAAAGAAGGAGCTGGAGGAGAAGATGGTTTCCCTTCTGCAGGAAAAGAATGATCTGCAGCTTCAAGTGTCCTCTGTGAGTAATAAGAATGATCCGTTCACTGCAAGAACAGACACCTGTTTGTCCCGGCATACATACATTTTTTGCCACTGTTTTGTATTTTGTAATTGTATATTTGTGTATGTGTTTTTATGTACAGCACTTTGGTCAACTTGTTTTTATTAGTGCTTTATAAATAAACTGGATTGGATTGGATATAATATTTACCTAAATGTTAGTTGTACATAAAATTATGATTATGGTTTGGTACTTTCACAACAGCAGGAATATTAGGACTTAAGCTGTAGACTAATGGAAAGCTAGAAATCACTGTTTAATTGCAGATAGTGAAGGTTGTTTGCTGTTAAGCACGGGGCAGGTGTGTAAATGTGCCTGCCTTGGCTGATTAGGTTAGGCACAAATGACAAAAGTCTCTGAGGATTCCATAATGATAGGTGGGACAGTCCCCATGAGAGATATTCCAGTCTGACTTTTGCTCATTTTTTCTCTTTCAGGAAGGAGAGAATCTAGCAGATGCTGAGGAGAGGTGCGAGGGTCTTATCAAAAGTAAGATTCAGCTGGAGGCCAAACTGAAGGAAACAACTGAGAGACTGGAGGATGAAGAAGAGATCAATGCTGAGCTCACTGCCAAGAAAAGGAAGTTGGAAGATGAATGTTCAGAGCTCAAGAAAGATATTGATGATCTGGAACTTACCTTGGCCAAAGTAGAGAAAGAGAAACATGCCACTGAGAACAAGGTTTGAACAATCCACGTCCAATTACCATGTTCATATATATTTCTCCAATATCCATAATCATTTGTCTTGTTAATCATGAGTTTTGAAACACTAACAGGTGAAGAACCTGACAGAGGAGATGGCTTCTCAGGATGAGAGCATTGCTAAGCTTACTAAAGAAAAGAAGGCGCTCCAAGAAGCTCACCAGCAAACACTGGATGACCTGCAGGCAGAAGAAGACAAAGTCAACACACTTACCAAGGCCAAGACAAAGCTTGAGCAGCAAGTTGATGATGTATGTAAAACAAGACATAGCCAGTGTATATTCTCAAAAAGTAACAAATCTATAGGAATGACATAATTTCCTCTTCTCCAGCTTGAAGGTTCCTTGGAGCAGGAGAAGAAACTGCGTATGGACCTGGAGAGAGCAAAGAGGAAGCTGGAGGGTGACCTGAAACTTGCTCAGGAATCCATCATGGATCTTGAGAATGACAAGCAGCAGTCTGAAGAGAAAATTAAAAAGTAAGAATTTATTGAATGTATTCCATTACTCTGGCTAAATGAAATTGGTGATTGATGTGAGTTAAACAATTTCTTTCCCAGGAAAGACTTTGAGACCAGTCAGCTTCTCAGCAAGATTGAGGATGAGCAGTCTCTGGGAGCACAGCTTCAGAAGAAGATTAAGGAGCTTCAGGTAACATGTCTAATGTTGGGTCAAGAGAATTATAACTTGAAGATTTAATTGCAATGTCTCCATTATTCTAACTCCAGGCCCGTATTGAGGAGCTTGAGGAAGAGATTGAGGCTGAGCGGGCTGCACGTGCCAAGGTTGAGAAGCAGAGAGCTGATCTGTCCAGGGAACTTGAAGAGATCAGTGAAAGGCTGGAAGAGGCCGGCGGTGCCACTGCTGCTCAGATTGAGATGAACAAGAAGCGCGAGGCTGAGTTCCAGAAGCTCCGTCGTGACCTTGAGGAGTCCACTCTGCAGCATGAAGCCACTGCTGCTGCTCTGCGCAAGAAGCAGGCTGACAGTGTTGCTGAGCTGGGAGAGCAGATTGATAACCTCCAGCGAGTCAAGCAGAAGCTTGAGAAGGAAAAGAGTGAATACAAGATGGAGATTGATGACCTCTCCAGCAACATGGAGGCTGTGGCTAAAGCTAAAGTAATGTTTTTTTTTTTTACTATGTTAATGTTTATGTAAAAATTTATGATAAAATGTTTTTTATTAACATCAAAACAAATGTTTAGGGAAATCTTGAAAAGATGTGCCGTACCCTTGAGGACCAACTTAGCGAGCTGAAGACCAAGAATGATGAAAATGTTCGCCAAATCAATGATCTTGGGGGCCAAAAAGCCCGTCTCCTTACAGAGAATGGTAACATAAACACCAGGAAATTATTTGACAGAAGAATTATGAATCTTCTAACCAATATTTTACACCAAAGGTGAGTTTGGGCGCCAAATTGAGGAAAAAGAAGCCCTGGTCTCTCAGTTGACAAGAGGCAAACAGGCTTTCACACAGCAGATTGAGGAGATTAAGAGGCAAATTGAAGAGGAGGTCAAGGTACGTAACGAACAAGCTAATTGAATATAAATTAATATTGATAGTATGACATACTGTAAAAAATCTGAATCCGTAGGCCAAGAATGCCCTTGCTCATGGACTCCAGTCTGCTCGTCACGATTGCGATCTGCTCAGGGAACAGTTTGAAGAGGAGCAGGAGGCCAAGGCTGAACTTCAGCGTGGAATGTCTAAGGCCAACAGCGAGGTAGCTCAGTGGAGATCTAAGTATGAAACCGATGCTATCCAGCGCACTGAGGAGCTTGAGGAAGCCAAGTTAGTTTTAATATCTCTTCACAACAATTTCATTTTGATTTATCATGTTCACTAATTATATGTACTTCTTATGAAGAAAAAAGCTGGCCCAACGGCTCCAAGAGGCTGAGGAGCAGATTGAGGCTGTCAACTCCAAGTGTGCTTCTCTGGAGAAGACCAAACAGAGGTTGCAGAGTGAGGTTGAGGATCTCATGATTGACGTGGAGAGAGCCAATGGTCTCGCTGCCAACCTTGACAAGAAGCAGAGGAACTTTGACAAGGTAAACAATTTAATATAGAATTGTCAAGGTGCTGTATGTCTGTGATGTTTTGTTATTTACCATCCACTCTTATGATATTGTATCATATTAGGTCCTGGCTGAATGGAAGCAGAAGTTTGAGGAGGGTCAGGCAGAGCTTGAGGGAGCTCAAAAGGAGGCCCGCTCAATGGGAACTGAGCTTTTCAAGATGAAGAACTCCTATGAAGAAGCTCTTGACCAGCTGGAGACCATGAAACGTGAAAACAAGAACTTGCAGCGTGAGTTCATTAAGGAGATGCTTTATTTACATCCGAAGCTGATGTTGCAAGACTAAACATTTGATTATCCAATAGAGGAAATCTCTGACTTAACTGAGCAAATTGGTGAGACTGGCAAGAGCATCCATGAATTGGAGAAGTCCAAGAAGCAGGTTGAGACAGAAAAGTCTGAAATCCAGACTGCTCTTGAGGAGGCTGAGGTAAGAAATCATACAATAAAGTAGGTGTAGTAATAGACAGTAGATGATAATATACTTTGTTCATTCTTTTTCAGGGAACTCTTGAACATGAAGAGTCTAAGATCCTCCGTGTCCAGCTGGAGCTTAATCAAGTGAAGGGTGAGGTTGACAGGAAGCTGGCAGAAAAAGATGAGGAAATGGAACAGATCAAGAGGAACAGCCAGAGGGTCATTGACTCCATGCAAGGCACTCTGGACTCTGAGGTCAGAAGCAGAAATGATGCTCTCAGAATCAAGAAGAAGATGGAGGGAGACCTGAATGAGATGGAGATTCAGCTTAGCCATGCCAATCGTCAGGCATCGGAGTCCCAGAAACAGCTGAGAAATGTGCAGACACAGCTCAAGGTATCAAGACTTTAGTTTCAGGATTCTATATTCTTTAAAGCCCCCACATTAACTCACACTCTTCTTCAACTAGGATGCCCAACTGCACCTTGATGATGCAGTGAGAGCACAGGAGGACATCAAAGAACAAGCTGCTATGGTGGAGCGCAGAAATGGCCTGATGATGGCTGAAATTGAAGAACTTAGGGCAGCTCTGGAACAGACAGAAAGAGGACGCAAAGTCGCTGAACAGGAGCTGGTTGATGCCAGCGAACGTGTTGGACTTCTGCATTCTCAGGTGAAATATATGATCATTATATATCCTGTCAATCTTGCCTTACTGTAGCTTCAAGTCCTAATTTTTCTTATTTTACAGAACACAAGTCTGCTGAACACCAAGAAGAAGCTTGAAACTGATCTGGTTCAGGTCCAGAGTGAAGTTGATGACACTGTTCAGGAAGCAAGAAACGCTGAGGAGAAGGCCAAGAAGGCCATCACTGATGTAAGACTTCCTTTGGCATATCTTTTGGTTATGACCAAATTCAATATGCAATTTTTAAAACTTAACATTGTTTCCAGGCTGCCATGATGGCCGAGGAGCTGAAGAAGGAGCAGGACACCAGTGCTCATCTTGAGAGGATGAAGAAGAATCTTGAAGTTGCTGTCAAGGACCTGCAGCACCGTCTGGATGAGGCTGAGAATCTGGCCATGAAGGGCGGCAAGAAGCAGCTCCAGAAACTGGAGTCTAGAGTAAGATTGATACTGTAAAACCTAAAAATTAATGTATTTGCACTCTAAATGTAACTATGCTTCTTAAAAGGTGCGTGAGCTGGAGACAGAGGTGGAAAATGAACAGAGACGTGGAGCAGATGCTGTTAAGGGTGTCCGCAAATATGAGAGGAGAGTCAAGGAGCTCACCTACCAGGTATGTGAGCCACATACAAAAGCAAGTATATATTTACTCAAGTCAAATGATAACTATCGCCTCCCTGTTGTGTTCAAGACTGAAGAGGACAAGAAGAATGTCACCAGGCTCCAGGATCTGGTTGATAAGCTGCAGCTCAAGGTGAAGGCCTACAAGAGGCAGGCTGAGGAAGCGGTAAGTACACATTACGGTTTAATTTCATCACATAAACCGAAATGCAGAAGAGATTCAACATATTACAATCATGTGCTACAGGAGGAGCAGGCCAACCAGCATCTGTCCAAGAACAGAAAGATTCAGCATGAGCTGGAGGAGGCTGAGGAGCGTGCAGACATCGCTGAGTCCCAGGTTAACAAGCTGAGAGTCAAGAGCCGTGACTCTGGCAAGGTAAAGCTTAGATTTCTCCATTTTAAAATCTCAATATAATTTGAATATTATCCATTATTCAATAATTTGTCTATATTTACTTTACAGGGCAAAGATGCAGCTGAATAACTTTCCATGAATCAATAAATATTTCTTATTCATAATTTGACCTAGTAGTTTTTTTTCACCTTTGAACATTTACTGATGTAAGTGATTTCTAGATCTGCATGAAGGGGAAATCTGGATGGTGTTATGGCATTTTTCATAATAATTCAAGGCAAACAAATGGCTTTGTGTGATATGTTAGTTTACACCCATAGTCCCTGGACAAGTTGATGTAGTACATTTTAATATATTTCAGGGAACTTGAGGGTCCTGCTTTTCTTTTCTGGACTAAGATGTCCTCCATCTAGCACCAAAAAAGTTTTTGGCAGTTGCAAAAAGGGCAAGTCCCACTTGAAAATATATATACATCATTGGCACACTTCAACTGTGACTGACAGAATTTGGAATGACAAATCCAGGAACTCACATTGTATAATTTTAAACATCCATTCATCACCCATCCATTTTCTTCCGCTTCATCCGTTGCTGGGTCGTGAGGGCAGCTGTCTAAGCAGAGACACCCAGAATTCCCTATCCACACACACTTCCTCCAGCTTATCTGGGGGGACCCCAAGGCCTTCCCAGGCCAGCTGAGAGACATAGTCCCTCCAGCGTGTCCTGGGTCTTCCCCGGGGCATCCTCCCGGTGGGAGTGCCCCAGGGAGGCGTCCAGGAGGCATCCTGAACAGATGCCCAAGCCACCTCAACTGGTTCCGATTGACGTGGAGGAGCAGTGGCTCTACTCCAAGCTCTTCCCGTGTGACTGAGCTCTGCACCCTACTGTATCTCTAAGGGAGCGCCCAGCCACTCTGCGGAGGAAGCTAATTTCGACCGCTTGTATCCGCTTGATTTTAAACAATTATGTACAATACTGAAGCAATAACAAAAGTTTAACTCAATACCACAGATGTTCTTTTGGGTTGTTACCGAATACTCTCTAAGCAACCTCAGGGTCTTGAAATACTTCCCACTTAGCTACTCCTAAGCACCCATCAGTGTTTCATCTTTAATTGTCACTGATGGAAGAAAGTTATAGCCCAAACCATGTTTCCACCCTTATGCTTCACAGTGGGTATGGTGTAGGATGCAGTGGCCAAGAGATCCCCCTGCTAAATCACCTCAGTAGGGTCTCACTAGAAAAAAAAATCTCCCAAATCGTCTTTAGCTTGGGAAGAATACTGTTCTTGGGAGTTGCATTCTCAGACATCCTCGCAAATGTAAGCTCCACATAGTGAGGATAAATCAAACCTAGGACCTAGGATTGCCGTTTTGTACCGGCCCAGATCTGTCATGGTCACATGATGCTTATTGCAACAGTAGCTACAGCAGTGTGTGCTCACTGCACAATTTGCGCTACTCTGCACATGCACAAGCTGATCGGTTTTCCTGCTGGAAGGGATACCTGCAGCCGGTCCATATTATTTGTCCACACAGTACTGCATAAATGTGGGTATTTATGCATATGTGTGTACTAAAGCGACAAGCACACTATTCAGTATTAATTTCTGCTGTATCTGTGTGTGCTCTACCACACTACAAGCAGTCAGTCAAATATAGCATCTACTTATATTTTGTGTGCTCCCTGTGTGCTCTTACTACTGTCCTGTTATCTATTTATTTAACAAATGCAAAGTCCTTCAGCCAGTCGGTTGCCTCCTGGTCTGCTGTGTAGAAGGTGATTAATCCTCCTCTCAGTCGTTGAAGAGGGCAGGCTTCAACAACGTTTTCCACTGTCTGCACCTCTCCACAAGCGAACAGTGGGCTACGGCTTTTGCCCTATCTGTGAAGGCTGGCCAAGCACGGGCCAAGTCCAGTCTTGAATCTATTGATAGTTGACCATTGTCTCCTTGGGAGGGCGGTGCCAGGAACCGGTTAGAGTCTGGCACCAGGTGTTTGTTTGAGGGAGAGTGTGTTCATACGGTGACGTGACTTCCTGTATCCGGTGAGCGTGTTTCTTGACTGCTATCACTCTGCTCTCTGTTTGCACTAACAAACACATTACAAATCCACGTATTGTACACCAAGCTAACTGTCTAAGCACTCCGAGTCAGCTGTACTGCAGCTGAGGTTTAGGTAGCGGTTGTTTGTCTGGTCTCGGAGTCTGTTGTGCGGGCCCGGATCCGTACTAGCTTAGCCTAGCCTAGCTTAGCCTAGCCTAGCCGCTAACTCGCTACTATGGCGGCTGCTGTCTCTCCCTCAATCCTTTACTGCTCGAGTTGCCATATGGCGAGTCTAAACCCTGGATCCTTCTCTGAGGGTAGTGATAGATGTGTGAAGTGTAGTGTAGTCGTAGCTCTGGAATCCAGGGTCAGTGAGTTAGAGCTGCGTCTCCGAGCACTGGAGTCTCGAGCTAGCGCTAGCATTAGCTACAGCCAGGCCGTATCCTCAGGGACAGCGGAGCGCAGCTTTAGGGAAAGGCAGAGGAGAACTAGCGAGCCTAGCCTCCCAGCCCGTCCTCCGCAGCTAGGACAAGACCAGGATAGTGATGGCTTTGTGACTGTCCGGAAAGGGCGACGTGTTATTGGTAGTTTCCCCATTGGGCCTCCTCCTGTTAGCATTTACAATCGCTGGGACGCTCTGTCCGGCTGCGCCCCCGCACGGCCGGGCGGGGAAGAAGGCCCCACTGAGAGAGCCGCTGAGAGAGCTGCTGAGAGAGCCGATGGAGTCGCTGATGCGCTGGTAATTGGCTCCTCTATTGTTAGAGGTGTTAAGATCCCAGGAGCCACTGTTCGGTGCTTCCCTGGGGCCAGGCTTGGTGATATTGAAGGGAATCTGAGGCTCATGATGACCCACAAGCAGCGTTTCCGTCGAATTGTTATTCACGCGGGTGGTAATGACGTTCGGCGGAAACAGTCCGAGGTGTTGAAGCTGCAAGTCGCCGCCGTGTGCAAGCTGGCTAGCACAATGGCCGACACTGTCATCTTCTCTGGGCCCCTACCTAGCACTAGCAGTGCAGAAGCATTCAGCAGACACTCGGCTTTCAACCGCTGGCTGTCTGGCTGGTGCCCTCGAAGTGGTGTTGTTCATGTTGACAATTGGAGTGCCTTTTGGGGAAAGCCCGGTCTCATCCGCTCGGATGATATCCACCCAACGTTGGCGGGTACATCCCTTTTGGCTAAGAATTTGGCCCTGGCTCTAAACTGTTCTGCTCGGCTCAAATGACGGTGCAGAACTGAGGCCCGGGTGCAGAGCTGCTCTGCCACAACCTCTGAGCCCCCATCTGTTCAGTTACTAGCCTCAGAAGCTAGTCAGATTGAAACTGTGTGTGCATGTGTGTGTGTGCCTGTGTGTGCTCAGTTACTAGCCTCAGAACCTAGTCAGATTGAAACTGTGTGTGGTGTCAGACACAGTAACTTAATAAAAGTTCAGACAGACAGAAATAGTTCTAGCGGTAGGGTTGTTAAATGTGGTTTAATGAACGTCAGATCAATCTCGTCTAAATCGCTTCTCATAAACGAACTTATTATAGACAAGGGCTTGGATCTGTTTGCGCTCTCGGAGACTTGGCTCCAACAGGACGAGTACGTTAGATTGAATGAGTGCACTCCTCCGACGCATGTTAACTACCAGAAAGCCAGAGCTACAGGTCGCGGCGGTGGTGTTGCGATTATATCACACACCAACTTGGTTCTTAGTCCCAAAACCAACAACGCTTTTCACTCGTTTGAAAACTTAACACTTTCAATCACCTGTCCTGGGTGGAGAAAACAAAAAGCAGTACTATTTATAGTTTTATACCGACCTCCTGGTCCTTACAGCGAGTTCCTAACAGAATTCTCTGACTTCATTTCAAACCTAGTTTTGGAATGGGAAAACATAGTTATAGCTGGAGACTTCAATATACATGTGGACGACAGCACTGACAGCTTAAACAAAGCTTTCAGCGCCGTACTAGATGGTGTTGGTTTTACTCAGAATGTCGAGGAACCTACTCACATTCATAACCACACCTTGGACCTTGTCCTGACCTACGGCTGTGATGTCTCCAATGTTGACATCCAGCGTCAAAGCTCGTTGCTGTCTGACCATTTCTTGATCACGTTTGATCTCGCTTTGGAGGACTTTCCTGTCCCGCAAGATAAAACCATAATGAAAAGAACCTTAAATGATAAATCTATCACAAGGTTCAAAGAATTAATACAGCCAATGTTGAATACTGCTGCAGGTGAACCTGTTCACAGCTGCTGCAGTCCCTCAGTCATTGACCAAACGGTGGACAACACTATGGAGTCTTTAAAATCTGCATTAAATGCAGCAGCTCCTTTAAAACAGAAAACCATTAGGATTAGATCATCGTCGCCCTGGTACAGTGTTCAACTCCACACTTTAAAACAGGACGTCAGAAAATTGGAGAGGCTATATCGCCACTCCCACTCGGAGCCTGTCCACAGGGAGTGGAAAGCAGGTCTCCGAAACTACAAGAAGGCCCTTCGCGGGGCTCGAACTCAATACTATTCAACTTTAATAGAAGCGAATAAAAACAACAGTAGATTTTTGTTTGGCACCGTCGCTAAACTCACAAACTGCCATAGCGCAATCGAGCCTAAAATTCCAAGCTCACTGAGCAGTGTCGACTTTCTCCACTTCTTTAATAATAAAATTACATCCATCCGTGACAAACTGGAGGAGGTTACTCCTGCTGTTGGTAGTGGACAGGTTGAAGCGGCATACGTGACTTCCCACTTAGACTCTTCAGTGGGCCTTGATAAATTCATGGCTGTGAGCCAAGCAGAGGTGATCTCTGTGGTCACATCCTCAAAAGCCTCAACTTGCATGTTAGACGCAGTCCCGACATGGCTCTTCAAAGACATACTTCCTTTGATAATTGAGCCTATCGTAAATATAATAAACGCATCCATACAATGTGGCTATGTCCCACAAGCTTTTAAAACCGCGGTAATCAAACCCCTTCTGAAGAAAACAAACCTGGACCCAGAAATACTTACAAACTACAGACCGATCTCAAACCTCACTTTTATATCTAAAATCCTGGAAAAACTTATAGCTGAGCAGCTCCGCTGCCAC